AAGCTAGCCAACTCATTTAATGCGCAATAGGAGACAAACCTGTAAACATTAAAGCTTCAGAAATGTTGTGTTTGGTAATGCTTGATAAAGGTCATGAAATGGCTTTCTCAGCCCACACAATTAACCCGCTTTCTCTGTGAGGCAGCAATCTGTTGGGAGGCAATTAAAGCCCACTGCTTCCTGTTGCGAGTCATCTTTATACTATAAGAACCTAGTTGCAATAACCACTGCAATTGTAAAACATGTTATTAACCCTTTGCTGGAGTTTCCAGGAAAGCAATACCTAAAAAACTAATTCAAAATAAATAATTTGCAAGAAATAATTGTTCAACAACAAACAATATAATCTAGATTATGCACCACTATTTAACTCTCTCTATGTGTTAAATGGGAAGGTATGTTTCATTTTTGTTTTAAAGAACTTATTTGTGGCCACCCATTGAAATATGGATTGTGGAAAGTGGATGTCACAAGATACATTTTTTTTTTCTAATTTATAAAATAAACAACTATGAAATATAAGTCAATTCACTTAAAAATCAGTTTGCTGGCACAAAGGCAGACATTTGAGGTAGGTTAAAATGGTGTACTGGTACATTACCAATCTTTGTTTCACGAGCAAATCGCACTTGAGTCTGACCTTTTCAATGATTAACTAGGGCTCGAATTGAGGGGGAATATGGGGGGATAGTCCTTGTTGAAAAAAAAAAAAAGACAAAGATCCTTCCCTAAAACCACCATCCCCCTCACTTTAGATTAATAATGGTGTGTATTATGTACAACTGGACATGCAAATTAAATATTAAAATAATATACTTATAATTTACAAACTAAATAACGGTGATTGGGTAATCAAAACTCAGTATTGTAACGAGTTGCAAGCTTTGTTCATTTTTCGCACAAAAAGTTTCAAGCACAACTTTTGATGTTCTGTAAAAAACAGCAACACAATATTTCCTTTATTAGAGTTGAAGACATTCCCCTGACAAAACATTATTGTGTGACTGTGAGGGACAGAAAGATGATATTGAGAGTGGTCACTGACTTTGCAAAAACACATTTTAAGAGTCCAAAAGCATTCACTGCATAATGAAGCCTATTAGAATGCAGTTAGAATATTTTTTTTTGCAAACAAAATATTTCTGAACAAAGCTGGAACAGAGCCATTATGCGTGAGACCAACACTGTGTTGTTTCGTTCCTGTTCTTTAATCTGTTTTTGAATGAATCGAGTGAGTCATTGATTCAACAATCCATTCATAAAGAGAGTCACTTGCTTTATTTCTAATTGAATCAAGTCGTTTTGAACACTTGTTTAATTTTAATGATTAAATTAATTATGTATTAAAACAGCCACCTACTGGCAATTTTATTCTCAACTTATTTATCCATGACAGGCCTAAACCAGCCGAAGTACAAGCACAAATATGCACTCAGCAAAATATTGTTTAATCATTGTTCACTTTTGTTACTTTTCACAAAAAAACCTTGGGAGCACTTTATTTCAATAGTGCGCATTAGACATTTATTTGAAAATAAGTAACTTTGCAACTATGTCATCTACCAGTTACTGGAGTATTAGCAGACTATCAGCTTAATATTTGCTAACACTTTATTTTGATTCGCCCCCCAATAGATATTCTACTGACTCATTGCAAAAAGTCAAGTTTATGTAAGTATATGTCAACTTATTCTGCTAAACAAAAACCTAACCTGGCAATCTACTAATACTCTGCTAATACTCTGATAAAATTTGACATGTAGTTGCAAATGAATTACTTAGACAGTAGTCAACAAAATGCCCAAAGTGCACTATTGAAACAAAGGGTAACCAAATTATTTAAGATTCCACTGAAAATAAGTTTGCCAACATGACACAGCCACAACCAATAACAGCATATTTCATGCTTCATATTATTATTGTTTAAATGAAGTTCCAAACGTAGGTTCGGGGGGAGCCTAATCATTCAGTCCTGTCAATCATCATTACGAGCCTATATAAGCAGCACTCATTGCACCATCCCAGCATCAATTCTTCCAGCATCCCTCCACCTCCCCATCTCCTCCTCTATTTGTGTTACTCTCCCTCTAGGTAGTACCACAATAGGGGGGCTGAACTCAGTGCTCAAGCCGAGCCTCAGTTAGACAGCAAGCCAAGTTCGTTTACCATTAACCACCAGGACTGGATGGGCAGGCCAACTCATGAATCAAAGCATATAGCACTGCCCAGAGTGAGATCTTCTTCATTTAAAATGTATATCAAAGCATATAGCACTGCCCAGAGTCTTCTTCATTTAATATATATAAAATATAATCCAGTCAGTGGATAAAGCTGTATGTCGTAACTAAACATTTAAAATGAAGTACTATAAAAAGCCTTGTAATTGTATTTAACCGCCACAAATACATTATGTACAATTTCAACAGTTGCTAATGCTAATGTGTTTTCCTCTGGTTTGTGTGACCATTAGTTTCATTGCATGCAGGGTTTTTTTTGTCCAGTTTTGATTCACATATTAATATACTTGTTTTTGATGGGATTTTATTATTTTATTATTTATTAATTATTTATTATATGTTTGTTTGTTTGTTTGATTGCTTGCTTAGGGTATTCAGGTTCTTCCACATATCCATCAAATAAATTGGGTCTTACCAGACAATAGTAGCTGCCTTAAGACTATTATTCCTACTCATGTGTTAAAAGCTCTAACCTGTTCAATAATATGCCACGTCATAGTCAATATATTGTATCCTTTATTTACTTGTTATTTTTATTATCTTTTTGCCTGCAGTTGTAAATCAAGTTGCTTATATGCAAGACACTTACTACAGCAAGGATACCTTCTGGATGATATTGCTGAACCTCTGATTCCATTGCTCTTTTCCCCCGCTCTCTCTCTCTCTCTCTCTCTCTCTAAATTACAACAGCTGGGCATGTTATACACTGCAAATTATTCGTATTTGTTTGTTTGTAAGTTTTAGCATTTTTGGACATTAACCATTTCATATTACTGTTGCTTAGATATCAGGGGTAAAAAAAAACTTTTTTAAGTTTTTAAGAACTTTATGTTCAAAAGTGTGTGCAAAAACTACAAAATTGCAAGCAATGTGTTTTGTCTCCAAATTGCATCATGTTTTGCTCAAAATAAGGAGTTAAGGCCTTTCCACATTGAGCGCGATGCGAAAAAGCGAGGCGAATCGCCGACGAACGCTGCTTTCACACCGAACGCAAAACGATTGTTCGCCTTCTGCTAATTCACGCCTGAACGCTAGGTGGCGCCGACCAACAATGCATTTTTCCTCAGATGTGTATCTCTTAAATTGATTTAACATCATCCGCTGCTCAATATACAGCATTAAATTAAGATAAACAAGGTTCTACACCAGAAACAAACTATCTATGATGTTTACAAGAATAGGCTACATCCTAAAATATAATTAGAAGTACAATTAGCATCAAGCTACACTTGAAAATGTATGGAATTATTAATGTATTTGCTTACCCACTTTAAACCATCATCGAGTGCTTGTAATAACTTCCAATTGTGATCTATAGTTGATTTTGATTAATAAGCAGACACATTGTATGGAATTGTATACACATTCAACTTTGTATGTTTACTAACGCTGCACTGCTAATATTTGTTATAAACATCCTTGCTCTAAAAATACCATGAGCTGTATACAAAACACATACAGAAAATATATCGTCATCATTGTATGTTTCATATTGCATGTGTAGAAAAAGAGTTAACGCGCTTTGACTCATAACACTCACGCACGTAGAAGAAAACGGACGGTGCTCTACAGATCACATAATTCAGTGGACAATTAATAGAAATGTTATTCTGTATAAAGAACATGTTGTGAGAATAAATCTGTTCTGAAATACCAACGATAACAAGAACTCAGCATCCACTTTCTTCTCTTATCCGGGATACTCTTCTTCGATGTTTGTTTACACTGGTTTTTGAAACAGTGCCACCACTCTTGCCTTTTTGTGCAACAGCAGCTGCTCCAGTCACGTGATCCTAGCTCAAATCTTATTGGACGGCCCGTGTTTTCGCTTTGTGAAACTGAAAAGAATCGTCGGACTGGTTCGAAAAAAAAAAAACATTTACATTTTCGGTGCGCGAATGTTCAGAGTCTATGTGGAAGCATCCATAGAACTCTATTGTTTTATTCCAGCGCGTCATCACGTCCGATATTCGTTTCGCTTTTTCGCGCTTAGTGTGGAAAGGCCTTTACTCTTGAAGGGTAAAAGAACAAAACCCAAATGTCTTTCAGCCGACCCCAAGATTAAAGTGAATGAAAAAAATTAAATATTATATTTTATTAATACAATGCTAAATAATAATATGTAATAAACATAAATGTTAAAAATAATAATAATAAACAGAGTGAATCTTACAATGCATGTCATAACTGCACCACATAAATCGCACTAAACTCAAAGCAACGCCAGATGGAGTTTGTATCGAGCAAGCATCTATAGATGCTTTGAGTCAGCTAAAAGCACTATATCATGATGGCAGAACAGACTGTTCTCTCTTCATTTGCAAGCAGTAAACAATATGCAGAAGAATAAATGGAATAAATTCACTAAATAGCCTTTTGTGGTTTAATAATCACACTATTCCATATTGAAATTTTGATTTAAATGTTATTAATTGTGCAGTCTATTACACAGTATTCAGAGAGGGAAAAATCAATTCAAAGTAGATTTAGTCATTAGTCAAATTATCATTATTCAACAGTTTTGTTCCGAATGGTAAAAGTAGATTTCAGCCCTGTTCAAAGAAGCTGAAATCCAAATCTTAATCTGTATTCAATGACATTTTCATGCATGGCATTTTGAATGGCAGTGTTTACACTGACAGCAGTCACTTGCTGATACATCAAGCGGGGATCCAAACATCTCTTCTTGTGCTGACATCAGTTGAACATCAGGCAGAATGACACACTGCAGCAGAAGAAATGCAATCTAGTTTGTTTACTGACCTTCCCGTCTCCCTACTGGCAACAAACAATCAGAGATGTCTGTCTCTCTCCCTGTGCTCTCGGAGAACTGGGGCAAGGTAACTTCTCTTCCAACACTCTGCTAAAGTAGTATTCCACCTCATTGAGTCACTTGTTCACCTGCAAGACAGAGAAAATGCATTTGTCTGAACATGTGCTTTGGTAGCTCAAAGTATGTCACATTTTAAAACCTAGATTTTTACATTTTCAGAACAAAATGTGAGTTTGCACATGCAAAACCACTACGCTAAGGTATTCTGCGGTGGCTGCTGTGGTCAAAGTCACTTTACACTATTCTGGTAATTTGCACCACTATCAGAAAACATTTGAACACACTGTTACCAATACTGGCTTTATGGTAGCCATTATCAAGGAAGATCCATTTTATTTAATTGATGTGTTGAATATGGATCTCCTTCATTGTGTACCAATGGAATTAAGATAACTATGGTAAAAAAATAAATACATACATAAACAAATAAACTGGATGATTAATGACGTTAACGTTTTTTTTAATATTAGGGTCTTTGCAACCTTGACACCATTATTGAACGAAATTGAATCAACAGTGAATTGACTTGAACTGACATTCATGACATTTTTGTCTTCTGTAGAGCTGCTTATACAGTAGCTAAATTTAATTAATTAAAAAAAGATACATTTTGCAACATTGACAGAGTTATTGAATTTAATTGAAACAAAAATGAAGTAAATTGAACTGTATAATGGCACTATTATCTACTGTTGAGCTGATTTTCTGCTGAAATTAAACTTGTTTCATAATTGATGATTTTTACAAGTGTGCATAAATGTGACTTGACTTGTCTTGACTTGAAAGTACCACATTTTCCTTGAAGTCGTATGTAAATACAATACATAGCTACATAAATATGATAATCTCTCAATGTCATGGCATATGAATATGCTAATCATTCAGTGCATTGGAATATATAATTATGCCCTCTGACACCATGACTGTACCATGGTACCACCTCGGTCCTTTTTTGTAAGAGCAAGATCATGATTTAGTAGAAGCTAGACAGATATAGATAGATTTAATTGACAAGACGGGGTATAAAAACTGTCTTTCTATGGCATAGAACATTAATCACACTACTCTATTTTTCATATTAGTTCAAGGAAAATCAGTATTCTGCCACTGTCTTTCTCTTCAGGGATTCAACACTAGTATCCATCTAGAGATTCACACTTTTGTGATAATGCTGCTGCTATCGGTGTCACTTTGACTGTCACATTTGAAGCTGTAGCCTGTTCCATGTTGTCATGTGTTTCATTGACGCAGTTTTTCTTGCTCACTGTAACTCATGACAAAATGTCATACACAACACATTCTATTTTGGTAGTAGGTATGACATGTTGATGTTCTGATCATATGCCGCTGCTATGATAAGCCAAGAAAATGACTAGATTTATTAATCTTATCTTTAAACACTGCTCTTAGTTGCACTTTGGTACATCTGAGTCATAAAATGTTGCTGAGATAGATTATAAAGCATTAAACAAAAGGACATTTTCATATTGATGTGATGATTTTATCTTATGAAACATTATAAGACTAAAATGCGTCATCAAAATATGATACACTATCAGGGACACACCTGCAGGCAAATATGATTTATGCTATAAGATGGTGTGCAATCTATCATTGGGATGAAAGTCAACCACAATTACAGTGTGCTGCTGTGAGGTGAAGATTCGCCTCAGATATCGTAATCAATGTTATCAGTATACTAATCAAAACTACATTTTGATATTATCTGAAGAAAATGTGAGTGGTGCTTGCAAGTGTAAAATTTGCTACCACATTGCTAATATCAGTGTTAAGTTTGTTTTGTCTTTTAATTTGGTTTTTGCTTGCCTAACTGTCTGCCTGTCTTTTCTTGTTTGTTGCATTGGTCACTGATTCAAGTTGCACACCTGTTTGTAGTTGAGTTGCTTGTTAGCTTGTTTCCTTCCTTAGTTCTCCAGTTAAATATAGTCCTCTGTTTCCTTGGTTGTCTGTTTTTGTCTATGTTTGGCTGTTATGTTTGTATGTTAAGAGCTATTTTGATTCCTGAGTATAATGTTCATTTTGGGTTTGTTAATAAAAAGAAGCTGGCTGCGTTTTAGATCCTGTACTCAGAACTCATCCTTTGCTGCAAACAAATGCGATAGCTGAGGTATTGTGGGTGGAAAGTTTGAAGTTGTTTTTAGCTTTTATGGGTGTTTGATAGATGTCCCAAGTCAAAACAGCCCACCACCAACAATTATAGTGATATTAATCTCTACGATACATATTCTGGTCTTGTAACATCTGCCCTGATAGGGTGAAAAAAGGCTGAAACAGCCTAAGCTAGGTGGCTTGGTCATAGATGATTTTAGAAGGGGTTTGACCACTTGTTTAGCTGGTCAGGTTGGGAGAACCAGCTGAACACTAGCTTGGCCAGGCTGGGGAACCAGCTAGGACCAGCCAACCCAACCAGCTTTGTAAGTATTTTTCACAGTTAGTGAAAATTAACTAATATAGTTAACAAATGAAACATTATTGTCCCTTATAACCAGTGTTGGGGGTAACGCATTACAAATAACGCGAGTTACGTAATCAGATTACTTTTTTCAAGTAACTAGTAAAGTAATGCATTACTTTTTAATTTACAAGAGAATATCTGAGTTACTTTTTCAAATAAGTAACGCAAGTTACTTTTTTTTCCAATTTAATGATTGACAGCTCTCCTGTCCCCACATTGAGAGAAATCAGAAGATGTTACTGTAGTTCTAAAATAAATATGAATATGCATTAATTCATCTCACTCACAAAAAAAAAACATAGATTCAGTATTGTTCAAAATGAATAAAAATAATGCAACTCAGAATATGACGCAAACCTGCAATAATTAAATGTTAAACAACACAAACATCCTTTATGTATTTAATCCCATTCTATTAACTAATGTTTTTGCTTCTGACCTTCGATGATCCAGTTCAACCGTACTAATAAGCAAAAATTACTTTTTTTTTTTAGTCTATTTTTATTGCTGAAGTGTGTTGAAATTTCTTCTTCTGCATTCTGCTGAACGGACGTAAATTTACTTCCCCTTCCCCTTCAGCCTGAGGCTTATTAATTTCACTTTTGGAGTGAAAAGGCTTTTATATTTGCCAAAAAATATAACTTTTTTTATTTTAAAAGCAAACAAGCAAGCCCTACTTTCCATAAAAGTAACTAAGTAACGTAATTAGTTACTTTTTTTATGGAGTAAAGCAATATTGTAATGCATTACTTTTAAAAGTAACTCTTTCCCCAACACGGCTTTTAACAAATGTACCCCATAAAAGCGTCGATGGGAGAGGAAAGTTTTACAGGTGATTTACTGACAATGCGCAAAATAAAGAACACAGACGCAGCCAGCACATATCAATGAGGTATGTGAAGTCTACTAACAACACAGGGACAAATAAATAAATAATGGCACACATACCAGTAAACTGACAAGCGCAAACCTTTGTAAATCATTTTACGTAATTCATTTAAATAGTTTCCTCCCATACATTTTGCATCTGCATGGGAAACTCCAACAAATGCATATCCAATAAGGTCAGCCACAAAAATAACTGTATATACGCCTTTGTATAGCTAATTTTTCACAAGCTGTAAATCTGGCCCTATATCTAGAGCAAGTCAGCTAATACAGATACAGTTTTTCAGTCATCTAAATGTTTATATTTACAATTATTTTTATGTATGACTTTTTTCCAATCCAATCCAAATATTAATTTGTCTGTGTATTACATCTATTACAAACAGAGTCTCAGTGTTACAGCTTCTATTTAATAATAATTGATGCATTTAGCAGACGCTTTAAAGCGACTTATAGTGCTTTCAGGCTATACATTTTTACCAGTATGTGTGTTCCCTGGGAATCGAACCCATGGCCTTTTGCGCTGCTAAGACAATACCCTACCACTGAGCCACAGGAGCATTAAACAACAGCTTCTGTGTTTAGAAACGAAGAAAGCCACAGTGACAATGTCGCCGGAACTAACTCTGAGCTTAACTAACTAACTCTGAGTTTTTTTCCTTGAAGGCAAATCTGAAATATGCCTGAAAAGCTTTACTTTTAGCAAATATGTAGCAAATATTCAGTCACAAAATGTGTATCTTGCAAAACTTTGCACAAATTTTGTCTTATATATATATATATATATATATATATATATATATATATATATATATATACAGTATATACTATAAGTTACTATAAATGTGTGCATTAGCAATCACATTTTCTCAGAAAAAGACTGGACAAACCCAATTCTTCATAGAATGCAGCTTCAATATGACATTATTAATGGCCAATTAAACATAGTGCACTGAAGTTCAACTGAATTTACAGTTGTTCTCTCACTCTCTCGTGCGGATCCAGCAATTATAGTGATACTTCATAAAAACAGTCTGAGGTTAAGAACAAGAGATAAGTGGAGGAAAGAAACACTCATCACAGCATTAACAGGCCAAGAAGTTATCAATAAAAGACAGAACATTTCATCAGTCACTCAAGTAAAGATGTTCACAAAATACATTCTGCTATACATTTTTACCAGTATGTGTGTTCCCTGGGAATCGAACCCATGGCCTTTTGCGCTGCTAAGACAATACCCTACCACTGAGCCACAGGAGCATTAAACAACAGCTTCTGTGTTTAGAAACGAAGAAAGCCACAGTGACAATGTCGCCGGAACTAACTCTGAGCTTAACTAACTAACTCTGAGTTTTTTTCCTTGAAGGCAAATCTGAAATATGCCTGAAAAGCTTTACTTTTAGCAAATATGTAGCAAATATTCAGTCACAAAATGTGTATCTTGCAAAACTTTGCACAAATTTTGTCTGATATATAACTTTAAGATGAATGTTGGATCAGTGAAAAGGAAAGAACCAATCTTGCATATGTTCTTTGAAAATTTATAAATACGTTGTTGTCTTTCAAGGTTGAGAGGGTCAAAAGAGCCTTATTGCAAAGCTAATGTACCCTTTTATCACTCAGCAAACCATTGAAATATGAGTGAATAGAACCACATCTGCTAATTAGGTGACATAAACAGATGCCAAACGTAGAGAATTAATT